CAGCCGAAGTCAGTGATCCCACCTGTTCCAGAGTGGGATGCTAAGGCTGGATGAGCGTAGGCATGCCGGGAAACCCAGCTTAGTCATCTCAACGCTCCCAAGACTGTTTTGATGTTTTGCTACTCCAGCTGTCCGTGAATCCCCCAGCAAATGAGTTTGCTGGCAGGATGCTTCAAGGGGAAGACAAATTATGAAAAATTGCATTCGCATAAAAGACATGCCTTATTTTTAATTGGAAATCTGATTCTCTGGATTAGTACCCACCCAACCGGAGAGAAGAAACATATGCTGATGTATCAACAAAACAAAGAGGGCACTGAATATTCAAGGCAAAGCTTACACGCACTGAAAATGCTTCATAGAAATTATCCAGCAAATCACTTTCAATGGCAAATCTCATGCATTCACTGTGCATTCACAGGCCACAAAAAGGAGAAAGAATTGCTCTACATGTTTTCTGACTTTTTTTCTGACCCTGTTTTAGTATCTTCCCTCTAAGTAAGACCTATAATGGATAGGCCATATATCAGAATTTCTGCCTTTATCTTATTGCTTCATTTTCTCACCTGCAACCCTGCACATCCCTCTGTTTCTTGACTTTCTTCTTCTGTTGTCCATTGCTGTCACTTCTCCAGGACAGTGGTTGCTCTGAAGAACATCTGTCTGTGGTTGGCATCTAGAGGCCCTGCCTCATACACAGCTAATGGGAAGCTGTCCTAACACCTTCTGGAGGTGACACCCATCCAACTCTGCTATTCACAACAGTTTTTGTTCCTTTGGCCTGTAAAAATTGGGAAAACCACAATGGCAGCAGCGTAGCAGGGAACAGGAACTGCTTTGGTGATGCAGTGAGTTTTGTGGAATCTTTCAGGTACTATTGCAGAGTGCCTTCAATTGAATATTGCAAAGTGCTGAATTTTCTCATTTGTGTGATGTGAAAATTTAGCTTAGGCATTTCAACAATGACTTTAAGTGTGACCTGCAGTGTCCCTGTGATTTCTCAGTCTGTATACCAAAAAACTTACCTCTCCAACCAGAGGGAGTTTGGACACATTCTATAGGTCTGAGTTTAAGCTGTTCTTGGTGCATGTGAGCAGAAATCTTCTCTCACTGTTTCTGCTGCATGTTGTTCCTCGAACATATACATGATTTACTTTTAGCTGGTTGCCCCCAGTAGTTATTTTAGTGGTAATATTGCAGCTATATAATTTGCATAAGCTTTTCTGAGAGCAGCACCATAAAAGGTGAGACAAGCTGGAACAAATTATCTAGAAAAGTAGTGATTTGGGTATTTAGAGGAGAGTTTCTGTGGCTATCTGGTGATGAAAGGACTGCAAAAGGGCAGGAGAGTGGCTTGAGACCAGGTTCAGAGGAGCTGTGATGACTGCGAAATCTGTGTTTACAGCCTGAGCATGACATGACAGCTCCTTTGAACTCCCTTTGGAGTTAGTTGGAGGTGCTTAAGAGAGAGGGAACAGAGCTGGATTGGGTCTTCAAGTATTTTCTGCTCCTAAAATTTGTCTGTGCAGTCTGACATTGTATGGGCATATAAATGAGCTGGTTGGGCTGGAAGGGTGAAGGCTTGCATTTGGGAGCTTTCTGGGCAGGAGAGCTGGGGCCAGGAGATACTAACACCATCTCCAGGAGGAACCCATTGCTTTTGGCCACCAGGAGCAAAATATTGGATATGGGAAAGAAAGGGATAGCAACAAGGACTTGATAGAGAAGCACAACTTGTACTGATCCCTGTGAAAATCCCCCTCACCCTACCATCCCTGACAGGATGTTCCTCCTACAAGCGTGAAGCCGGTGCCTAGAAACAAGCTGCAGGATCTTTTTCCTGTGTAGTGGAGTGGTGGTGACGGAGAAAGGACTTGGAAGTTGCTAAGGGTCTCCTTGTTTGTTTGCTGATGGTCTAACAGCTCCCTCAGTCAGAGACACACTCTCCTTGTTAACAAAAAGGCAGTGAATTATTTAGCAGCTGCAAATGCCAGATGGCAGTGGCTCTGCTGCTTACAGGAGGAGGGGGGAGAGAGAGAGACATGCACATGGTGAGGAACAGATTGAGAGCATTGCCATAGCAAAGAGCAGACCCTGGCTAGAGGTCCTGGTGGCCCAGGTGACAAGCAGGAGGCAGGCAAGCCAGGGCAAACAGCTGCTGCTTGCCAGAGTAGCCCCCTCACTTCTTATAGGTCTCTTCTAGAGGTCTCTTGTCAGGGGTCATTACCCTGATGGGACCACGCTGCCCCTTGAGGTACAGGACTCCCAGCCATGGCTGGGGGACAGGCTGTGACTGAGGGCACTGCAGGGAGGCTTTGCCAGCCCATCCATCCACCCATGGGGTGGAAGTATCAGCCCCAAGTCTACTGGGACGCCCTTTGGAGAACTACCAGCTTATCTCAAGTGACCTGGCAGTTCTTTTGAGAGTCACACGAATGCTCAGCTGTCCTCGCATGGGCAGTGACGTCTCCAGACATCATAGTCTGGGCAGATGGATGTATATGTGTGTATGGATAGGGATCTCCAAGGAGAACTGAAGGTGCAGCATGGGCAGGTCTGTAGCAGACACTGAAGCCCATGGCTAGGGTGACATTGCACCATACACACAGGAAAAGGGACTGCCACATGTCTGCATGTCCTGGGGAGCTTGGTGCCTGTAGCTCAGCAGCTTCTGACACCCTTCAAGGCATCTATGCAGGTAGTCAGATGCCAGCTTAATATTGTAGTGGGGTGAGATTCTTAAGCTCTTCTGGGTTCATAGCCTTGGTCCAATCATCCCAGCCACTGTTAGGCTTCCAGTGGAGATTTTCCTTTGGGCTTTGGGGTGGAATTTATGCTTCAGAAATGAAGAAAATAGCAGATCACCTTTTCTTTTTTTTTTTTCTTTTTCTTTTTTTTGTGTTTGATTTGGGAACTGCAAGCACCAAGAGTATTTCTTAAATTCTTCAGTCCTCTGGAGAGCTTGGGTTGACAATCCCTTGGGAATCCTCAGTGTCCAGGTTGTCAGAATTTTTTTTTTTTTTTTTTTTTGTCAACTCTTGTGTTTGAAAACCTCCTTCTTCCTCAGTTTTTTCTTCCCCTGGATGAGGAGGTCAAAGAGAGTCAGTCTCTCAGGCATGCAACATATGCTCCTGCACCAACACTCCTGTCCTGCCCACTCTGGTCAGCTGAGGGTTGAAGGGTTGAGGGTGTCTGGGCTCCTCATGAACTTTGGGACAGGACTAATCTCCTTCTCATGAACTTTAGGACATGATTCCTCAAGCAGCATACTGCAATGTCTAAGAGAGAGAGGCTGGGGCCACTGCCATGCATATGAAATCAGGCACTACTGTAGTCCCCCATCTGTCACACTGACACAGCACAAGTAAATGTTTCCCAACAGGAGCAAATCTGTGTAGAGCTTAGGAATATCCCCTTTCTAAGCCAAGTCATTTTATGTGTACTGTCTCTGTGCTCCCTAAGGAGCTCTCAATTAGGTTTCCTTTGGTGTTGAAGAAGATTTGATCTTGTTTGGTCTTGGGGGCAAAAACTGCTATAAAAGCTTTGTGTCTCCACATCCCTGGAGGTCCCATCTGTGTTTGTTTGCATTCTCCTCCACTGAGTTTTCACACAGCCTTTGCACTGGTCACGATATCCTGACCTCAATATACTGTGCCCATCATGTCTGCAGGGCAAGGCACTTGTATAGCTCCTTATAAACTTCAGGCAGGCCTGAAAATGTCCTTGTCAGGAGCTCAAGTTCCTGAGAATAGGGATGTAGAGTAATTGTGGCTGAAAGGGCCCCCTTGGAGGTCATCTGATAAAAGCCCTTGCTCAGGGTCAGGCTGGCTTCAAAAATATATTTGGCTGCTCAAGGCCTCCAAAGACTGAATCATCTCACCCCAGCTGTTCTTCTTTCAGAAGACAGCTGTTCTTCTCTGAAGGCCATGCAGCTCTTTGGGCATGAAAAGCAGCTGGCTAAAGGTGTTGAGGGTGACTCCAAAGCACAGAGGCAGGACAGGCACATGAGGACAAGAGACTCTGGCCCGCTTGTCCCCACCCCATGTTTGTTAGCATTTGCTGTGTTGGTTCCCTCTGCTCATCTTTGACTGGTGAGTGCAGCAGCCATTTAGTACTGGCCTGTGGCATCCCCATGGGTAACAGACTGCCACGCTGCCTGCTGTAGGGTGCTCGTTCACAGGGGTTCCAGGCACTGCAGGTTTGGGGAGGATCCTCTCCTACCTAAAGCATGGTGGTAGGAAAGGTTTTGGAAACAAGCCACGGTGTTGGCCATTAATTAATCTCCTGCCAGTGAGGACTGTAACCTATGGTATCAGCTCCTGGGGAGGGTGGTGGGAAGCCTGACACTTAGGGTTTTGAGAAGCTAACTCTTCTGAAGAGATCAAGATATCTTGGGAGGAATAATTCTGCTTAGGTGGAAAGATGAAAGGGAAGTCCTCTAACTCCTGAGTCACACAGATCATGATGCTGGAGGAGGACAGCAGGCTTAGGGGTATTCCATAGGCAGTGGATACCTAGCTGTAGGGAGAGAAGCAAGTGCAGCCCCAGCAGCCCAGCTGTCAATATCATCATTGCTGTTTTTTTCAGAAATTCAAACAAATGCTTCAGCTTCTCATTCCTGCCTGCTGACAACACTAGGGTGGCCATGATTCAACCCAGCTTCCAGGACTGAGGGGCAGAGGTGGTGAGAGACCTGTCTCAGGTATAACAGAGACAACCAAATAGCATGGGGTTTAATGGGGTGGAGAAAGGGCAGGAAGCAGCTGTGAGATTTCTTCAGCAACACCCTCTGCCTTGTGTCAAACAACCTCTCCCTGAGAGAGACTGGGACTGGGGAAGCTCTGAGGTCACCAGCCAGTCCTCTCCCCTCCCTACCCTTCGTGAGCTCTTCAGACCTTGATGGAAGGGACCTGGAAGAGCCATGGCCCCTTTTCAAACAAAGGCTTCTCCATCCACTCTCCTGCCCCTGTGTTGCAGGGTGAGACCTCACAACGGCGTCGATGGAAAGCAAGTACTCGATGGAGCCAGCGCCTGATGGTGCTGGCCTCACCTCGCTGGATGTGCTCATCTTCCTGGACGCCCCGGTGAACAGCACGGAGGAGCAGTGCTTCAGCGCCCGCTCCCGCAGCACGGTCCTGGAGGGGCTGCCCTTTGGTGGTGTGCCCACCGTGCTCGCCATCAACTTCATCCTCTGGCTGGTGAGTGGGCCAGGAGGGAGCCATACCTACGGGCTCTGCAGCCACGCACAAGTGCAGCCTGTGCAACGGTGCACCTGGCAAACTGGGGAACAGGGATGAGTGCACTGGTGCACCTGGCTGACGGGGGAACAGGGGTGAGTGCAGGGGTCCAAGGGCTGTGCCCACCTCATGGTGGGCAGCAAAGGACACCTGGGCAGCAGTGGTGAGATCATGGAGCAGGAACAGTTTGGGGTAAGAGTTTTGCACGAGCTTGGGCTCACGAGTGAGAAAGCACAAAGGAGATCCCATGGGGTAAGACCTTGCAGCAAAACACTTATCTTTCTTCTTCTTCCAGCTTCTCCTTCTGGTCTTCTCATGTCTTCGGAAAGCGGCTTGGGACTACGGGCGCCTGGCACTGCTGATGGACAATGACAGGTGAGGAGGATGTAAAGCTGCTGCAGGTGATGGCTCCATTCTCTTCAAGAGGGCTGAAAGGAAGGCCAGCACTGCGCCATGACATACAGAGTTCAGCAGGTGTTCCTGTCTCTCCTCCCCACTGGGAATGGCCTGGCGCCCCCATTTCCCATGGAGACACAGCCACCATCTGCTACAGGGAGAGGGAAAGCCCAGGCTAGCTTTCATTCCCTCCAGCATTTGGTGACAGTGTTCTTGGTGCCATTGAGGACACTGTTCTGCGAAGGACAAAGAGCTATTTTCAGTGGGGACTGTGCTGCTGCTTCTCCTGCCACTCTCTTGGGATGAATGGGACTGCTTGGTGGAGGGGGCAGAGGGAGACACACAGCAATAACACTGTTCCTCATGTCACCACAGCAACTTGCCTGGCCCATCGTTTGGGCTAGGTGCAGAATTCCACAAAAATAAGCAGTGTTCTGGTAAAAGTAGAGTCCAGACCATATTTCCAGGTGGGCTGTACTACCTACAACAGCTTGCCTGCCAGAGCACAGCTCACCTGGGCAGCAGCAAAGCATCTTTTTTTGCACAGGTTGGTGCACACAGGAGGGGTCTGTGCAAGGCTGGGCAGCCCACAAGAGTAAGATCTGTTAAAATCCTTCTTCTGCCTTCTCCCCTCCAGCTCCTCTTGGCCTCTCAGTCTGGAGCTGAGTCTGGTGATGAATACATTATGTTTTCCCTTCACCAGTGAGATCAAAGGGCAATCAAGATTTAAAATGCAAGCTCTGATTAGATTCCTTTTACTGTAAAACCATTTGAGACATCTGAAAACAGTGGAATAGAAAATATCTGGATCAACAATCCCTTGTAATGGAGCTACGGCTCCATCTCCATGAGCCCATCATGGGTCAGGGCCGCAAAGAAGTTGGGGAGACTTGTTGGTGTGGAGGCAGCAAGATGCAACCCCTTTGTCCCAAGCCCAGAACTAATCACTGTACCAGCCCCAGTATAGAATGCAGGGAGGGGGGGAGGCATTTCTTGGGCTGCTGTCCTAGGAGGGATTTTTCCAAGGGTGCTTATTCTCTCGTGTCTGCTGCTTCTCTTCTGCCTCACCCCTCCGCTCCTCCCCTCTCTGCAAAGCCTGACATCGCTTTTCTATGGAGAGCAGAGCGAGAAGGAGAAGTCCCCATCAGAGAGCAGCCCTCTGGATGCCGACAACAAGGATGTGGTGAGTGCCAGTGGCTGTGGCAGTGGGAACCTCGGCTGGGCTTGTCCCAGCCAGCCTGTCCTGTTCTTCATCAGAAACCCTGGTCAGAAGTTAAGGGTGAGAAATTAAATCTCCTGTTCAACACTCTTCAGCAGTGGGGAATTCCTGGAAGCTGGAGGGTTTTTTGTCCTGGATTATTTGAGGCATCTATTTTGAATGGCAGTTTGGAGGCGATGCTCCTGTTGGCAAGCATCTCACAGCTGGATGGCTCTCCTTGCAGCTGTGTGGATCCAGTGTGATGCATGGCCAGAGTCCAGCTGCATGTCTGCAAGAATCTTTCCCACCCCTCAGGATAAAGTCCCCCCACACCACATTTCCTCCTCTGCCAGCATGGTGGGGCTTTAAAGTAATCTTCTGTTTCTCTCTAGCACACCAGGCTTTCCTGGAAACAAACACAGACTGACACATGTTGCTGCCTCTTTCTTTTTTGGCAAAAAAAGCTCAAAAGTCAGTCACTGGTAGGACTATGAAAAAATTTCATGACTAATTAAAGAATCTAGGTAAGAAAGAAGCGAAAGAAGCAAAATCCTTGCAGGTGGCAGGAGGCCTGTTTAAAGGCTCTGTACCAGATGCTCGAGGCAAATGTATATTGCTCATCAAAAAATAAGTGAGAAAGACTACAGGGAAAGCTAGCACACTAAAGAGCAGGTTAAGGTAGATTATTAGAAGTAAGAAGACATCCTTTAAAAAGTCAAACTGTTCACAAATGAGGAAAATCTCAACTCTGCCAGGTTAGGTGTAAAATATACTAAGAGGAGAGAAGAGCAGCTTTGAGGAGAAATTTGTAGAGAGCATAAAAAGACTAGAATCACAAAATCACAGAATGGGTGGAGTTGAAAGGAACCAACATGGGTCATCTGGTCCAACCTCCTTGTTCAAGCAGAGTCATCCTAGAGCACATGGCACAGGATTGTATCTTGAGTATCTCCAGTGAAGGAGACTCCACAACCTCTCTGGGCAATCTGTTACAGTGCGTGGTGCTTTCTTCCAGTCCTCAGGCACCTTTCCTGATCACCATGACCTTTCAAAGATGACCATGAGCTGCCTTGGTGCGGTGTCCACCAGCTCTCTCAGTAGTCATGCATGCATCCTGTCAGGGCCCACAGACTTGTGGATGTCAGGTCTGCCTAGGTGTTTTCTAACGTAATGCTCCCTCACCAGGGGAAAGTCTGACAACCCATGTGTGTACACAATGGCAGGGAATAAGCTAGTTAGTGCACAAGAACCTAGGTTGTCATGTAGCACTCTACAGCAGTACCACACAGCACTTGCTAGTGCATTGAATGTTAGGGACTGTCATGGAAGGGGAAAAGGAGGGAGCTCTGGAAGTAGGAGCCTGTTGCAGTGATGGTCCTTAATATTCAGGGGAAGCTGAAGTCCAGAAAGTCACCCCTGAAACAGTGAGTTAATGCTTGACTTCAGCTTCTTCTGCAAATCCTTCTGCAGACAAAAATATGCACCTGACATCCATCAGGATGGTTGATGTTTGTAGAGAGACTTCCCTGTCCCTTTATACCCCAGCAGACTCCTTGTTCCCACTCACAGAAATTCTCTTGTCACTACTTTCAGGAAGGTCGCGTGGTCTCTCAGGGCTGGAAGGGAGGTTGTGCTCAGCTTCCCATCAGCTCTTTGGAGTGTGTTTTTCTTGCTTCTCCTGAGGCAGCTGCCTTTGCCATTGGGCTGAGCATTGCTGAGCTGCCTTGGGCACTGCCTCCATTTGCTCAAGCCCCTGGCCGTAGGCACTGCACCATCTCTGCATGTTTCCCCAGCATATGTTGTGACCCAGTCCCTCACTAGGGAGGTGGGGGTAGTTGCTCTTGTCTCATCCTGACTCTTTTCCTTCTAGGGATTCTGTTCCTGGCTCCTTTCTATCTACCAGATGAAGTAAGTGTGTGTGCCTGGCATTATGGTCTTGCCCCATCGCTGTAATGAGGTGCAGTTGGAGCGCTGCTTGTGTCCCTCATTCCCTCTGTGCTCAAACCCTTTGTGCCACTATCAGGATGCCATGAGTTGGTGTGGGTTGTGGGAGACTGGAGCGAGCCAGTGTTCCCATGACAGGAGGTGGTGGGGAGGAACCACCAGCACTGACCCCCACCTGCCTCTCTCCAGGGATGAGGAGATTCAGAGCAAGTGTGGGATCGATGCCACCACCTACCTGTCCTTCCAGCGGCACCTCCTGGTCCTGCTGATGCTGGTTTGTGTGCTCTCCGTGGCTGTCATCCTGCCTGTCAACTTCTCAGGGGACCTCCTGGGTAGGTGCTTCCCTAGTCACAGGATGACTCAGGAGTGCCATGCAAGCTTCCAAGCCTTTGGGCAAGCATTGTGCCTCTTGGAAACAAGGCAAAAAAACCCTCTGTCAGAAGCCCACATTTGAGCAGGAGCTCACCGTCAGCTGGGTGACAGAGGAGCATAAAAGGCTGGGAAATTCAGGGCAGTGGGGACTTGGGGCCCTGGGAGATGGAAAAGAAGGGTCCAAAGACCACAGCCAATAATTGCAATATGGACATGCACACTGCACTGGGTTCCCTTAACCTTCTGCTTCTCCTCTTCCTCTGCAGGACACAATCCTACCCACTTCGGCCGGACAACCATCGCCAACATCCCAACTCAGTAGGTGCTCCCACAGGCAGGGGGGCTGTGTGTGCTGCTGCTGTGGTGGGCACTGCTGGGAGCACCTAGGCACAGAACTCACCACAGCCCTGTGCTGGGGACAGGGACAGGTCCATGTGAGCAGCACACCGCTCACACTGGCTCTCCTGTCTCTCTGTACGACATGAGCACAGTCAGGGCAGCCAAGCCAGTGGCACTGCTCGTTGCACCCTGCTGCTGGCAGAAGTGCTCTTGGGGATGTTGTGTGGCCTCATTTCTGTAGTATCTCAGTCACCAGCCTGGGTGCTGCCCTCTAGTTCCTGGGGTGTCTGAGAGCTGGCACAGGGAGGTCCTGCTGGGTGGAAGGGGTGGTCATGGGTGAGATGCTGCGTGCCAGGCTGGTCCCCATGCCACATGCTCATCACAGTGCTCATTGATCCCCACTTCCTCTCTTCCAGAGACCGTCTCCTGTGGCTGCACAGCATCTTTGCCCTAATATATTTTATCTTCACCATCCTTTGTATGGCTCACCACTCTGTCCACCTGGAATACAGAGAGAATGAGAAGGTGAGAAACCACTCCGCCTCCAACCTTGCCTTGCTCAGTGCTGCTAATGGCCAACTTCTTGCTTTGCACAAATGCTGGTCGCAGTAGGTACAGAGGTTTTTAGGAACAGCATGAAACTGGGCTGGCAGGAAAAGGTGTGGCTGATTTTCACCAGCTTCTGGATAAAGTGACAGCCTCGAGGCAAATCTCTCTCTCTCTTGCTGTCTTGTCTCTTGAGACTGAAGCTCTGCTGTATACATCCGCATGGGGTATGGCATTGTCTGGCTGTGCCCTCAGGGTTTGGGACTAGGCATTGAGGAGATCTGTGCTGACGTGCCTCTGGGGTGGCAGCTGGTGCCCCAGCTTGCTGCTGAGTGGACAGGGTGGCAGCATTATATCCTGCAGATCCCTGCCCGTCCTACAGATCCATCCTGCAGACCCCTTTGCCTCTTCTCTTCCCCAAGGTTGCCCGGACACTGATGGTTACCCACATCCCCAAGGAGATCACAGACCCTTCACTTATCATCAAGCATTTCCAGTGAGTAGCCATGTGCCACAGCCTTGCTGGGTGGGTGGCAGGCAGGTGGCAGGGACTGTCCCTGTCCCCTGGCTTCTGGTGCCACCATGCCCCTGTGCTTGCAGCGAGGCTTATCCCAGCTGCACCGTCACCAATGTCCAGTTCTGCTTTGACGTGCGCAAGCTGATGAAGCTGGATGCGGAGAGGTGAGTGCGTGCGCATCCATGTTGCCTCTGTGGGAGGGTGTACTGCTCCTGCCCCCCGCATCAAGGCATCCAGCCTGGGTTTATGTCTGTTTGTCTGGTGCTCCCCACATTAACTTTGCTATCGGCTCCCTGGCAGGCGCAAAGCAATGAAGGGGCGGCTTTATTTCACTACCAAGGCACAGAAAGAGGGGAAGATCATGATCAAAACTCACCCCTGCGCCCGCATCTTCTGCTGCCGCTTCTGTGGCTTTGATGAGGTAGGAGGCTGCGGGCAGGGCTGCGGGCAGCACACCTGTACCATGGGCAGGCAGAGCATGGCAGCTTGTCCCTGCCCCTGCTCCTGCCCAGCACAGCCCTGGCTGCTCCCACAGGTGGATGCTGAGCAGTATTACGGCGAGCTGGAGGAGAAGCTCACAGATGAGTTCAATGCGGAGCGCAACCGCATCACACTCAAGCGGCTTGATATGGCCTTCGTCACCTTCCAGGACGAGCGGATGACAGCTGTGTGAGTGCCCCTCATGCAACAGCCACGGGAATGTCCCTCAGCCTGTTGGCCACCACTGCCGGGGAACTGGGGCACCTTGCCAGCTTTTCCCACCAAAGCCAGGCAGTGGGTTGGTCTCTTCCATGCCTCTGCCATCTGTGGAGTTGGCTGCCTTGTTAAGGCTGTGGGAAGGGTCTCACAAGAAGTGAGACCTGACCCCTGGGTCCCTCTTCCTGCAGGATTTTGAAGGACTACAACCACATCCACTGCCGCAAGCACCCCCAGCAGTCCTCTGTCACCACCGTGGTCAAGTCACACCACTGGGGTGTTCGCTATGCCCCTTCACCCAGTGATATCATCTGGTGAACCCCCACGGCGGAAGGGAGGGAGGAAGGGGGACCAAGCAGATATGGGGAAGCCCATGTCCATACCTATAAGGAGCCCATGTCCATAGCTATAAGGAGCCTATACCCATAGTTATAGGAAGCCCATATAGCTGTAGGGAACCTGTGTCTGTATCTGTAGGACACTTTCCCAGGGTCATGGGGGCTGAAAATCCCTCCTATTGCCATAGCAGAAGTCAACAGGGATGATTGCAGTGATCATCCCAAAGGTGGCAGGGCCCAGCCAGCTGAGATTAGGGGGGATTGCCAGACTCTAATTTCTCTGGCCTGATTCCTGGTGGTATGGACCTGCGCTGTGGCTATTCTCTGGTCCAGGGGGCTCTGCATGTGACAGCAAAGCAGCATGGGGAGGGGAAGAGGGCGAGCTCAGAACAATGTCTGCTGACAAGGATGGTTGGATGCAGATAGCAGGAGGCAGAGCTTCATGAAGCTGTGCTGGGAGGCCCAGGACACAGGGCTTTTCCTCCTCATCATGTTCAAGTTGTGTTTTCCTCTTACAGGGAGAATTTATCAGTCCGTGGCACATCGTGGTGGGTGCGATTCATTCTGCTTAATATCTGCCTGTTCATCCTTCTTTTCTTCCTCACAACACCAGCCATCATTGTCAACACTATGGACATGTTCAATGTCACACACCCTGTGGAGAGCCTCAAGGTAGTCCCTAACCCATGCCAATTTTCCTGAAAGGTTGTACTTTCCAGGCTTATCTGTGACAGGTGGGGGGCACTAGCTCTACACTGTCCTAAGATGAGCCATCACTAGGATGGGCATTGATGAGAAACAAGGTCATTGATGAGGTCGTGTCTGTGCTTGCTATCCATCCCCTTCTCCTTGGGTTTCCGGTGGCAGAGCCCTGGGGCAGCACCTGATTTGGTGCTGATGCCTCCATGGAGGCAGGCAGGTTGCTGTCCATTCAAGAAGAAAGGTTTGGAAAGAGCTCAGGAGATGTCAGGAGCTGCCAGCAGCACAACCCCTTCTTGCTCATTGATCTGTGAGCTTTTGGGTGGCACCGGGGCTCAGAACATGGCTGTGGTGCCTTTGGCTGGCCTCAAGTTCTCATTTCCTGCAACAAATGCCCCTGCTCAGGGAGGGGATGCTCCCACATGGCTGTGCTGTGGTGGGTCGCTGAGGGGGTGTTTGGCTTCTCTCTTCCTGCAGAACCCCATCATCACCCAGTTTTTCCCCACGCTGCTGCTCTGGGCCTTCTCCGTCTTCCTGCCCTTCCTTGTCTACTACTCAGCATTCTTCGAGTCTCACTGGACAAGGTAATGGGGCTGGCCCCCACAGTCCCCCAGGGCTGCCACAGATGGGAGGAACTGCAGTGGAAGGGGAGCCCAGCCTGCAGGGAGGCAGGCAGTGAGCAGTAGACCCCCACAGTGGAGCAGAGCCCCATGGTGTTTCTCTCCATTGAAAGAGCCCCAAGTCCATGCACAAAGGAGGCATTTCCTTCCCAAAGTCCTCAACACTCTCAGGCTCCTGACAAAGTCAGGTGGTTTTAAGATGGATCTGAAGAAGATTGTAAGAGGGTTGGTGTGATGGTGGACTGGCAGCAGCAGGGCCATCCCAGGCATGCTTCCAGCCCTCCAAGGCAGAGATGCTTATGGGTTCAAGATGCTTAAAGTAGAGGAAACTGCCCAGCTCCTACAATGTGCTCTCTTTGTCTTGACCCTCCAGCAGCCCCAAGCCTTGTGCCTCATCTGATAAGTCCTTGCAGGAGCTTTGTCACCACCTCCCTTCCTTTTTCTGGGGAAAACAGGAACTCATAAACTCATACTAGACACCTGTCTGCCTCTTGCTGGGTGTCTATACCATCAGCAATGGTAGGAGAGGCAAAGATGAAGATGAGAGGCTACAGCAGATTCCTCATGGTAACACAAGCCTAGCCTGGGAGAGGCTTTGCAAGGCCCCTATGGAGGCACAGACCGAATGCACACAGCTTGTGAGGCAGGAAGTAACTCCTTGGTGAAAAGCGAGACCAAGCCCAGGCCCTCACCCCACCTGCTGCTCTTTCCCAAACAAGTGCAACGTTCTTTTCTTGTCTTCCCTGTCTGCAGGTCAAGTGAAAATCAGATCACCATGCACAAGTGCTTCTTCTTCCTGGTGTTCATGGTTATCATCCTGCCCTCGCTGGGTCTGAGCAGGTATGGACCACTCTGCCAGGCTGCTCTCCCTGCTCCTGAGCTGCCAGGATCACACCTAGGCCCCTCGCCCCGACAATCCAGCCCCAAAGAGCTAAGATCCCATTGCCACCAAAACACAGTGAACTCTAGGGAGGAAAACACTCCTTTAGCAGTGCTGAGCCACTCATACGTGGTCATGGATGGAAACCTTCCCTGCAGAGGAGTGGAGCAGAGCAGTTTACCAGGCTGCCACAGCTGACCCAAGGGGGCTCGTGGCACTGATCAGCTGCTGCTTGGGTTCAGCAGACCCTAAAGGGACCTGGTCAGGTATCTGCATAGCTCCAGCTACAGTAATCCTGGCCATCCAGGAGGTGAGCACACACTCCACAGTGGTCTCGTGTGGCAGAAGGGGCTGCTCTGGCAGTGTAGGGTGCAGAAAGTTTTGCCCGCTCAGGACAGGAAAAAAGAGCACATGCCTGCTGGGTGTCTCTCACATCACTCTGTAGCTCCCCCTCTGTCTGAGCTGCTCCTCTTCTGTCCCCTCCAGCCTGGACCTGTTTTTCCGCTGGCTCTTCGACACCCACTTTCTGGATGAGGCTGAAATCAAGTTCCAGTGAGTAGCAGGAAGCTCCCAAACTTCCCAGGCAAGCGGGAGCACCTGTTGTCCACCGCCAGCAGCTCTTGCAGTTCCTACCTGAGCATTCTCTCACCGTGTCACCTCTCTGTCCCTGGGGCAGGTGCGTTTTCCTCCCAGACAATGGCGCCTTCTTCGTCAACTATGTAGTGACCTCCAGCCTGATTGGCACGGCCATGGAGCTGCTGCGCATCCCAGGCCTCCTCGTCTACACTGCTCGCCTCTGCTTTGCCAAGTCGGAGCCCGAGCGGCTCCACGTCAAGCGGGTATGTGGCTCTGGTCCCCTTTGAGCCTTTGTGACCCCCAGCACAGCAGAGATGCACTCACTGGAAACTTAGGCTGTCGTGGTTCTGTGGGGATGCTTATGGGGACTTCTTCTGGCCCCCTGGGAGCTAGTGGGGGTGAGGCAGTCTGTGGGCCAGGCTGCAGAGGCAAGTACAGGCTTTGCAGTGATAGAGGTGGCAATTACGCTGTTGGTTGTGCCCCAGAGCCAAGCATACCAGTTCCAGTTTGGACTAGAGTACGCCTGGACCTGCTGTATCTTCTCTGTTGTCATGACCTACAGCATCACCTGCCCCATCATCGTCCCCTTTGGTGAGTATGATCCCATGCCCATGGTCCCAGCCATGCAAAGAACAGCCTGTCCCAGCCACCAGCAGCAGCATGGGAGTGCAGGCTTCCTGCATGGTACAGGACAGCACCCTTGGGCATCATTCCCAGGGCCTGCCCTGCTCTCCCTTTGGCCTGGCTGCCCCCACTGCCCTCCACCCAAATGGCTCCTCTTGTCCCACCAGGGTTGCTCTACATGCTGCTCAAGCACATGGTTGACCGGTACAACATTTACTACGTGTACATCCCCACCAAACTGAACCAGCGCCTCCACGTCGCCGCCATCAGCCAGGTCGTGGTGGCCCCCATCCTCTGCATGTTCTGGCTGCTCTTCTTCTCTGTCCTGCGCCTTGGTAGGGAGAGCTTGGGGCTGTGCCCTGCCACTGCTGAGGGTCGTGTCTGGTGTTTGGGGGTGATGAGCCACTGGTGTCACCCTTGAGTTAGGCATGGCATGGAGGGGGGAAGGTGGTGTGAAGACCTGGCAGATGAAGGAAGTGTCAGCTTGTATTTTGGGAAGGGAGTTGAGAGCTTGTAAAACCCAAAGCAGGCACCAGCTGGGGCTCAGCTGAACAGCAGGTTCTTGGAGGCTTATGTGCTGCCCCAGTGTCTCTGTGCTATAGGTCCCACCCGGCCCGTCACCCTCTTCACCTTTGTGGTCCTCCTTTCCTGCATCATCTTCTCCTTCTTTGGCCTCTGCTTGAAGAAGCTGCAGCCACGGAAACCCTCTAGCTACCAGGTGAGCACATCCAGCCGCCCACTCTGTTCCTTCACCCCAGTGCATCCCCTCCTTGCTTACCATGGGGAATCTGAGATAGCATCTGGCTGTCCCTGGCCAAAGCCGGGCCCTCCAAACCATGATTTCTTCTTTGGCCTCCTTCTCCTCAGATGTCTGACCAGTCTGAGGGCGCCTTCAATGATGTGGAGCGGAGCAGCGTTTCCTCCACCCCTAACTCCAATGTGAGTACCCCTCCGCAGCCCTGCTGTGGCCATCTTGCTCCCCTGGGTCCTGATGTCCCACTGCCCCCTGGGGCAGCTCTTTGTGGCCACTGTCCTGCAGGAGCCTGAGCTGAGCCTGACACCGGCAGCCTCTCCGGCACACCAGTCCTATGGCACCATGGGCAACCACCTGGAGCCAGCGGAGGATGGGGAGGATGGGGGGCTGCAGAGCTTCGAGACAGAGCTGGAGACCGTGGAGGGCGAGTACAGGAGCGGCCCCGTGATAGAGAGCCAGGCTCGCTACCAGTGAACATCCCTGCCACAGGCTGGGAACTGACTGTGCTGAGAGCGGACCACATGCCGTGGGGCAGGAGGGAGCCTTCCCTGCACTGGTGGGGCCACCTTGCTGATGGGGCAGGGGATGACAGGAGTGATGTGAGGGAGAGACCCCATTGCATGGGCAGTGGCAGGAGGGTCTGATGGTCCCTCCCGCTGCCTGCACTGGCTGAGCCCCCTAGTGTCCCCCTGTCCCCACCTGCCTCTTCCAGCACACAGTGGGGAAGAGGGGGTGCAGCAGTACAGGGAGAGGGTCTCTCTGAGAGGCCATGCTTTTGGGGGCAGGAGGGAGGCCCTGTCCCCTCTGAGAGGAGGAAGCAGCCCAGACAGCCCAGATGAATGTGCCTGCCACCACGCTGTCCTCTGGGTCCTCAGTGGCAGGGGACAGCCACCCATAACCCTTGCATCTCACCCCATCCATCCAGTGCTCAGGCAGCTGTCCTGCTGCCTCCCCTGCTGCTGGCCTGCAGGCTGCTGCCTGCCCCTGCTTTGCCCATTTCAGCAGGGGCTGCTGACATGCGTGTGCTTCGGTGGAGGAGGTGAGTGTCCCTCCATCTGCCACCAGAGCCCCTACATGAGCACCAACAGCCCTGTACCAAGGCAGCCATCAAATGCAAGCCCAGCTCTTCCTCGACCTCCCACCCCATCCCCCCATCTTGCTGCACAATGCCTGTGCCCTGGGGCTCTTGAGGAGAAGTGGGAGGTCAAAAGACAAGTGTGTTTAATGTCTTTGAGGATAGCTCCTTCTCAGTCCTCTTTCCTGGCAGCACCCCATCATGCTCATGCTCTCACTGGGGCTGCCCATGGGACCCAGAATAGCTCCATCCTAATGCAACAGAACAGGGTGGACAGGTGGAGGCTGGCAGGACCTGGACTTCAGGTCCTCCTGGTCTACCACGTCCTGCCTGCCCTTGTCCACAAGCTGCAGCTGTGGGATGCTCCCCCAGTAGCCACACTGCCTCTCAAGTGTGAGTCCTGCTGTGATTAGTGTAAATGTGCCATTACCTGCCCAGACAGCTTCTCTGGAGTTTTCCAGCTCATCCAGAGTAGCTGTGGTGGCCTCTGGGGACAAGGGTTTATCCTCATCCTCTCAGCTCCTCTCCAACCATAGCCCACCTGGGCATGCCGGCTCCTCACTCAGCCCTGCTTTGGCCTCGGGGCTGATTTTCCTGTCCCTGATTCTCCTGCTAGCTTCAGAGCAACTAGATTTGCCATCATCCCAGGGCAGTGCAGGGAGGGAAGGGTGGGAGGTGCAGCTCTGCCAGCACCAGGGCTGCTGGCATGCAGAGTGCTGGTGTGTGAAGGCAGATGCTCGGCCATGGCACTGGTTAGCTTTAGTAGTGCCACTGGGAGGAGGGGTAGGGTGCCTGTTCTGGGCTGGGGGGAGGTTAAAAGGCAGCCCAGCAGTGAGAGCTTAAGGGGGCCCTTAGGACATTCCTGTGGGGCTGGTGGATCTCTGCTCAGCCGGCTGGCAGTCCCATGGCCCCTGTCCCACCCACGCTGCTACATGCTGGGGCAGAGGCTGCGGCACACTAGCCACAGTGGTTGCCTCGGGGAGCCTTGAGCTCAGACACACCCTTCTAATCCCAAAACGTTTACGGGGGGGTTTGTGGCCTCCTGCCCAGGTGCCCCCGTGGCTGCGCACAGCTCAGCTGCTCCCCTCACTGCCTGCTCCAGAGGCAGCCCCAGGCAGGGCACGGGGATTCTGGTGGCCTCTCTGAGGGTAGAAGCAAGTGCCTGCTAGTGGCACTGTGTCCTCGGGAGTTCGGGCTGCTGGTCTGATTGCCCTTGGCTGCCCCACTGTAGGAATGTGCCAGAGGTCTGTACCTTCTCGTGATTTATTGCTATGACCGTGCCTTGAATAAAATGACTTCACCCAGCTGTTGCCTGGCGTCGTCACCCCCATGCATCTTTCCTGGCACTGGTTTAGGGGGAACCCTTGCTACTGGAGCTTTTCCCTACCTGTGGGCTGCTTTTGACCCTGCCTGGGGACGTCCTGCAGATGCTTCAATGGCAGAGAGACTGCTTGGACACATCCCCACCTCCAGACTGCCCACTATGATCCCCATAAAAACAAACCCCAACATGTGGGCAGAAGCAGCAAAGTTTCAGGTGTGGGAGAGCACCTCACTGTGTCCCAGATAGAGTGGCACAGCCCTTGGCACCATCCCCTCATTGCGGGTGGGCTGCAGTCCTGGGACAGCTGTGTGCCTGTCTTGCCCACCTTCTGTCAGCAGTCACTCCATTGGCAGAGCTAGCTCAGAACACCACCAAAGGTGCAGATGCTGCTTGAGGGTAACAGGAGGGTGGCCTGGAGCCCCTCTGGGACCACAGCAAGGGTCAGGGGCAGGAGGAACCCATCCCATCTGAGGATGGAGCAAGTGTTCCCAAAGCTGAACTACCCACCATCAAGTCCCAGGGAAGGGGGTGAACACCATTTTGGAAGTCCTCTAGATTTTGAGAGAACAGTGTTCTTTTCTGCCCTCCTCCCTCCCAAAACACACACTTTTTACCTGAATTCCTGCTTGAATGATTTGCCTCTGGTTTCAGCAGGTTCCTCCTGCTGGCTCCTTCACAGCTTCCCTGGAGAGAGCCCTGCCACTCTCGTTTATGGCACAGGGCAGAAGGCATGGGGAGGGCTTCCCTTTGGGTGAACACCTGGAAAATTTAAAACCCATCGCATGCCCCTACAGAGACCCCCCACGGTTTGTAAGGGGTGGTAAACAGAGTTAACACAGGGCATGGCTGTGCCGGGAGCGGGGCAGGAGCTCTGGCTGGGAGCTGCGATTGTCCCCAGCTGCAGCCTCACACCGGGGAGCTCCTCAGGGGCTAGGAGAGGTGGCAGCCCCGTCACACTGCTCCTCCGCCTGGAACCCGCTCAGGACCCTGCTCCCTGACTGCAGCCTGCACTCTCAGAACCCCTGACAGCCGGGGCCCAGCAATGCATGGAGCCTCCCACTGTGCCAGCTGGTGGCAGGCAGTGACGGGAGCATCCCCCCTGGGCAGCAGCCACAGCAAAGGGGCAGTCTGTGGGAGCTGTGGCAAACCTCCCTGCTGGCACAGGCAGTCAAAGGTGGGAGTGCTGCTGGAGGCTGCCATGCTGGCCCTTCCCTGCAGTGCCAGGTTTGGGCTCCCACCATCAGTTCTGAGGCCAGGAAGAGTGGGAAAACTCATTTTAACAATGACCCAAAGGGGGTATTTCTTTGCATTCAGATCTCTGCTGCTCTCCTTGCCCTTCACAGCCCATCACACATTGCCTTGTGGGACAAGCCCATCCTAAATGAGCAGCATGGCTCTCTCAGGATGTTTTCCCTTCTCTCCTGTGCCAGAGCTGGGACTTCCAGCCTTTGGAAAATGCTATTACAGACCCTGAGCTGGCTTCCCCACTCTAGTCGCCGTTCTTCAGCATCAAGTGCCCAACTCCCACATGACATGATGGGCTGGAAACCCATCATGTCAAAGCTAGAACATGCTAGAAGACAGAACCTACTGCATCCTCACCAGCTGCTCTCTGGGCAGGGCTGCTGGAATGACTGCAATCCAGCTGGCAGGATGGATGGTGCTCCATGGAGCCAGACAGGACTTCCATGCTCTGCTGCTGCAGATGACCAGCAATGGGTGACCAGCAAAAAAAACGCAGCAGCTGAACAGCAGAAAAGGGATTTTTAGGCTGATTGCTTAAAATTCTGATTCCATTAGAGATTATTATACTTGAAGGGTCTGAGCAATCAGTAGCAGGGTGTCTCTGTTAGCCCCTCCACTGCTTACCCACTCAATTACCAGGCACAAAAGCTCCCAACATGTTTTTGATGGTGGATGCCTTCTCATGTCAGTAAAGCCACACTACACAAGTGCTCCCAGTGACCAATATCTCCAAAGCTAGAATCAACAAGAAACCAGCAAACCCCTCTTTGTCATCCTTTTTCTCTGGTCTGCTTGGTCCTTTTATATTAAAATAAACACAAGGCATCAAAACCGGCAAAGACTCACTGTTGTTTTTTAATAAACAGTACAGCTGGGTATAAGAGGCACACAGACCAGTTCTCTTGGGAGTTACATAAAATGTAGCACAGAAGAGCAGGAGTCAAGGAGCTGGGAAAGCTAGAGGGAGCAGGAATGGTTTGGGCAGTAACACCCACACCCCACCCATCACACAGCTGCCTACTTGTCACATGGAGCCAGGAGATGTCCCATGATGCTGAAGGCTGATGCCCCATAACAGGGTTGCAAAGAGGACATCCCCATTCCCAAACCCTTGTGCCCCATACCATGCCATCAAAGCTAGTGTCTCACCCCAGGCCCAGCTGCTGCAGCCCTCACTGCTGGGTGCAAGAATGGGGAGGACTTCACCTGACCCAGCTGATGGAGAGAGCCATGGGCCAGGATGGACACCAGCACACTGCAGGGCTGCAGAGGCAGAACATGGTACCATGGGGAAGACAAGGAACCTGGGGATGTTCACTGCCTGCTTCACAGCACCTATTGCCTTCCCTCCCAAACACAGCTGGAGGGCTTTTTGATGGTAGCCCATGGCTACTATCAGGCCTGGTGGCAGGGCACTAGAGACCCATCTTACAGGCCACCCATCATCCCCAGCATGGCACGGGCCTAGGAGACCTCAGTCACATTGAGCAGGCAGCCTTCTCCTGCCCCAGAGTGGAGGAGATCTGAGAATAGGAGGAATGTGTCTTCAGAACAGGACCATCTCAGACCTCAACACTAGGCTCCTCCTGTCCTGAAGAAGAAGCAAAAAAAAAGGGTGCTGTCTGTAACTGAATAATTGTTCCATGTCCTTCTCTGGGGCTAATGGTGGCAAGAAACATTGTTCTGCTTGTTCCACGGTGACTTCCCCATAAAGATGAACTCTTCCTCAAAGTGCTCAAGTTCAGCTCCTTCACAGACCCCTCAGGTGCTGCCTCTCAGCAGTTTTCTGGGATTTCTTCTAGCAGATGCTATCTCCTCATTCCTGTCAGGGTGAGGATCTCTGCAGATGGGCACAGTGAGCAGCTGGGAAGCGCTCCAGATTCTGACAGCATCAGCAGAAGGGTTCCAGCTATGCTTCCTCTGGCCAAGAGCCAGAATTTCTGGAAGCTGTTGCTATGACACGATTGCAACCTTCATTTTTAAGACATCTTTTCCTTGGATTTATTTTATTTTCCTTAACACAAAGCAGTAAACAGACATTGCTACTGCTGCTGTTGCTGCTGCATTTCAGATGGCTCTAAGGTTAAACCAGCTGGCCAAATCAGCACAAAGCCTTTCAGTTGGCAGCCCAACCCTGCCAAAAGTAGTTTCACCTTGGGATTAGTGTGACACTAGTGCCTGAAACATCCCTAGGAAACCAACTGGGTTGTGGCAAACCTGACACAGGGAAAAGCCAGGGATCCCATCCAGATCAGAGGCAAGGCAGAAAGAAGCACCAGGATTAACCATGTGGTAGTGATATATTGATGAAGGGAGAGGGGGGGAAACTCTCTGCAAGGTTTGAGGACAGCCACACGGTGTGACCAGCCTCGCTCTCTTGCTGCCTTTTGACCTGGATGGAGCCAAATCTGTCACTGTCACAGCTGAACCAGGTACAGCAGCACAGGACTGAGCAGTGTCAGACCTGGCAGGTAAAGCACAGCAAATAGGATTTTGAGCAAATAAGCCCAAGAGGCCTATGCCAGCTGTCGCCTACCTAGGGTGGGTAGCAAGACGAGGGAAGATGAGCAAGCTAAAACCCAGAGTAGGTACCTGGGTATTGGTGTTCCTTAAGGAACTTGGGGCAGGGTGGCATACCTGTGCTGTGGCACTGCCAGGCTTTGCTGCAGGGACATGCCCTGCCAGCCCTTAGCAAAGGCAGAGACACACTCGTGTTGAAGCAGGATGGAACCACGTGAGAACCCCGCAGCACGTGTGAGTGGCAGAGGCAGCCATGGGCTGGTGCACACGCAAAGGCAGAGGTGGGGAGAGGCAGCGAGTGTGGCCTGAGACTCGCCGTGCTCAGGACTGCTGCATGGTCAGGGATAGGGATGGCTGGCAGGATCTAGTCCCCTTCTGAGAGGGTCTCCCAGCCACGTTGCATGGCTTTCACCACAGCATTGTAGAGTTTGCTCCAAGCTTCCTGCACCTCTGGGCTGAAGGCAGCACCAAGGCATTTCTCCAGCATGTACAGCAAGGACTCGCCGACAGTCTGCAAACCAAACAAGGAGGGGTTAAGCTCAGCACCAGAGGATGACATTCAGTCTCTTGTCTCACTTTGCCACCTTTTATGACTTCTCCAGTTGCAGGGCACCTGCTCCTCTTCCACCAACAGTACCAGGCCCCCCCAGTCCCTGGCTTGTCAGAGGGGGCCCAGAACCAGCCCATGTCCTCCTCTTCCCCTGCCCTATGCTGGCCTCCCCATGGATAAGTGCAGAGGGGAAGTCAGGGAGCAAGGGCTGACACTGCACCTGTAACACCAGGGGAGAGGTGCACATCCAGTTCCTGTGGCTCCCAGGTGCGGGCACCTGGCCCTATCCCGTGGCACAGCTGTGGAGCAGCTGAGCTGAGCAATGCCCTGATGCCAGGAGAGTGGATCAGACTCCATGCTGGATGCTTAGGGCATGTCTCAGTGCCTCTCATGGTTCTCCACAGGGCACTGCTCCTCACAGAGCTGTGAGCAGCCCCACGCAGGAGCATCCTCCCACTGAGCACAGGGCTGGTGGGCATGATACCCCAAACAAAAGGGACCAAAAGAACAAAAGCTAGCAATAGGAATGAGCCGTATGTGAGTTAGAAAGCTTTTCTTCAGCCCACCCTTTCCCACTGCATTTTTGTCCGTGCTTGATAGCAGGAGAGGTGTAATCAAGGGTTTCATATGGAAGATGCTTGGGTGTTACTGGCATGGAAGAAGCAGGGGCTGAGGTGCAGCAACGCCATCCCAGTGCAGACACAGAGAGGTGGATTCTCCCTTTTCCAGGTGTGGTGAGGTTTGCCCAGAGCATTAGATGCAAAGGATCCAGGGCAAAGGCTGAGCCTGCAGCCCTGTGGCACAGGAGAGACTGCAGTGTCCTAAGCCATGGTCCTCTTCAAACAGTGGAAATGCTTTGCTCCCATCTATCCTTTCTGCCTGGGCTTACTGGGCAGGGGCAAAAAACAAGGGGAGCTCAAAGGTTTCCCTCACTGGACAGTGTCACTACATTGTTATCAGCACCTTGGACAGGCTGCCTGAGCCATCACCTCTCTCCAGACAGCTGAACCTAGAAGAAGGATGGGGACAGCTGAGGGTTGCAGGCAGGGGTGAACAAACACAAGACAAGAGAGAACCTCACCGAGAAAGACTCAACCTTCACACCAACTGTCTGGTGCTTCTTGCCAAGGTTGCAGAGATACTCTTCCAGGCAGGACAAGTTCTCCAGGTGGCTCACAGCAGCATCAATCACCAGCATCACCTAGCACAGGAGCAGAAAGGCAGAATGGCATTAACAGAAAGGTTCAGCTTCCCTCCCAGAGGAAACAAAGTGTCTGATCCTTTACTACACCCTTGTCAGCCTGACCCCCTCCCAGCCCAGATGCCCTCTGAGCTTTTCTTTGCTCTGCTGTGATCCATGTGCCACATCAGTGAGGCTGGCAGCAGCACACACCACATCCTTCCATGGGACACTAGCAGAGCTGCACAGCAAGCAGCACTGCTGGCCACCCTGTCCCAGAGGGGACAAACAGCCATGCAGCAGAGCAACTGCAGGTTAACACCTAATGCTGATGCAGTCATTACAACTCCTAGGACCCCAGGACAGCTGCATGGGAACCCCAGAAGCTGCCAGGACTAGAGTTTCCCATTAGAAGTTGCCAAAATGGTGCAATTGTGAATAAGATCAGCCAAGGCATTTTGAAGAGATGGGATAGAGAGTACAGCCAGGTCTGTTGACCTGGTCTGGCAGAACACATACCATAGCCTCCCAGGAGCATTAAGAGTCAAATGGAAACAGGACAGAAAAGATTTAATGAAGGATGAAGGGAACAGACACAACGAATTAGAAGAAGAGATTAAAGCCAGGGCATGGTTATCTTGGCAAAGTCAAGAGGTGACAGAATTGTGCACTGTAATTTCAACAGGCCATTTATCTCCAACAAGAGCAAAAAACTATTTCAGCTCAAGGCAATAATCTTAACTTTGCCAATAAAGAGAAGCTGGAAAATAACAAAAAGCTCATAGCTATCAGAGGAGCTCAGTCCTGAAACAGCCTCTTAACAAGGAATAAAGGCAGGCAAGGAAAGCACCAAGCTGGTTTAAAGATGGAGCCAGGCAGTTTATGAAGGCATCTGCAAGCCAAGGCTGTGCTTTGTCCTGGTGTGGCTTCTCTTCAGGGCTCAGCAAAGGGTCTCTGCTGCACCAGGAGTACTGTGCATGCAAGAGCCTCTCCTCAGCATTGCTCCTTTCTGTGTTTGGGTGGAGGGGAACTGCAGCAGTCCCTCGGAGGCTCTCTGAGAGGTGCTGTGGGCCTGCTGGCTCTGCAGCTGCACCAACAACCTCTCCACAGCAGCAGGTCCAGGGTAGCCTGGCCCGCTGCCCAGCTCTGTGCCACCTCCTGGCCAGCGTGTGGCCAAGCAGAGAGCTTCAGTCCTCACCTGGACGCAGGTGAGCTCCCTGAGGCACCTCCACAGTAGGAGAAGGATTCTTTCAGCTTTCACAGGAAGCAATCCACTCTCAGATGAGGGCATAGAAATCAGCATGGTGCCTCTTAGCCACCATAGCCTGAATTCTCATTCCCTCCCCACTGCTGTAGGAGACTTTGTCCTGGCCTTCTGCTAGCATGAGAAACCCCCTGCAGTTACCAGCTCAGAAGGAGACTTCCCATGTGCTCCCTGGTCAGACACACCACAGTCCCAAATCGTTGCCTAAGAGTTTCGTCCTCCATGGAGGCTGTGCTCCAGCCATGCCACAGCCCCTCTCTCACCTTCCTGATGTGATCCAGGAACTCAGGGGCAGACAGGCATTCCTGAGGGCTGGCAAACTGCTTGCAGTTGTACTGGAAAAGGGGCAGCAGGTCAGGATCCAAGTCAAACAGCCTGCAAGAGCAAGAAAGAACACCCCATCTTCTTACTTCCTCAGCTTTATTTAAAGTCCCACTCACCCCATCAGCAGCACACCCACAGCCTACTTCTGCCTCTCTTCCCACCTACTGATCTCTCTCCATCTGTAAAAGATCCAAAAGATCTGAAAAGTTTTAGTCTGGGGCAATCCAGATTGCCTATAGACAAAACCCTTCTGTTTCTCTAGTCTATAACCCCAGCTTTCAGATACATATTTATGGCACCTGAGAACTGGCATCCAACCCTCTGGAGTTTCTTCCAGCCTGGCCCTTCTCCTCAAAGAGTTGGCTGTTATCTCAACTATTCCCATTCCCACTTTTTGATCCCCTTGAACCCAAAAGCTCCCAAACCAGGGAAGGTCTCCAAGCTCCAGCAGCCATCTCGACCAAGGGGGGAATGTACAAACTCAGCTGATGCCCCACTCCCCGACACCATCACCAGCTCCCATTTCCTCTCCCCCTGCCCCACCCTCCCTTGCCAGTGTATGCCAGGCACAAATGGGACTCAATAGCAGCCACCCAGGCAGATACAACAGGCCACCCGTGATTCAGGCAAGACAGTCTCTTCTCCTCACCCTGCACATTAAACTACTGCACCCATCTCTCTCCCCCACGCTGCTGTCACTGCTCTAGTCCTGCTCTGGGAGATTTGGATCCCTCTCGCTCTAAAAGCTGCTCATCAACTCTCCAAATGTCCTTTTTAAACGACTTTTCATTGATTTTTCCTTTTTTCACATAATTGACACATAATCTGCTGAGGAGAGGCAAGAAGCTGGGTATCAGCCATTCCATCCGGCACACCATTTCCCCTGCCCTGAGACTGACTCCCTCCCTGGCGGCCAGGTCTGCTCCTGGGGCTGCACTTCCCCGGTCAAGGAATGACCGGGCGGCCCCTTCGGAGAGCAGAAGTCGCGGTGGCAAGGCGGGGATCGGTGGGCAGAAACGCATAAAACCTGCCCGCCGCTTCTCTCTCGCTCTCCGTCTCCGCGCGGCAAAGTTCTCACTGGCGAAGGACGGCAAAGGCAGGGCAGCAGCGCGGAGCGGGGCCCGCCGCTGCCCCACGGCACCTGCGGCTGGGCGGCGGAGCGGCTCCGGCTGCCCGCGGACCGCCAGCCGCGGGAGGGGAGAGAGGCCGGGGAGGGAGCCGGCCGGGAGCCGTGCCAAGCACAGGGCAGCGTTTCTGTCCAAGAAGCGGAGCCCGTCCGTCCCTCCCGCACGGGTCGGCGCGGGCGGGCGGCACCGGGGTGCGGTGGCCGCATCGCGCCGCTCACCTGGTGAAGAGGACGAGGCCGTGCTGCACGGGGCTGCCGCTCACCCGCTGCCAGCTCTCCCGGATCAGCGCCCGCTGCCCGCCCGACAGCGGCGTCCCGCTCTCCATGGCGGGCCGGGGGCCCTGCCCCTCGCCGCCCGAGGCAGGCGCTGGCTCCGCGGCTCGGCGGGCGCAGGGGCC